GTACACAAAACTATATTGACTGGCTGCCCTTTTTATTCACGATCTCCGACTTCAAATGAACCCTTAGTACTACCCAACAATTTGGCTACCTTTTCAAAGTCCATTTAATCTCTCACTGTCCCCAGATGCTATTTCATACTTTCTCCTCTCTTCTCAATTTTCCTGTCTATTCCTCACTCTCAGTTGGTGACTTCGCTTCTTCACTAATAAGTCACGTTCCTGCCTGCACATTCACCAGCATCTGTGCCCACACATTCTGCCTCCCTTCCTGTTAATGGAAGGAGTCTATCTTCTATTTACCCCAACGTTCCATTTGTGCATTGGATCCCATCCCTGCTCATCTACTCAAGAATATCGCTCTAGCCATTATCTCTTTTCTCGCCTTTTCTTTCCATCATCCCTTTTTCTTTCCCTTTGGGCTATTCTCATGACCATACAAACATATATACATCTTCTAATTAAAAAAAAGAAATCTCTCCTTTTACGATACATTTCCTTCCAGCTATGGCCCCATTATTCTATCTCTATTTACTCTCTTTTTATTTTCTCTGGACCCACTCCAGAGATCACCACACATCACCAATACTCTCCTTATGAGGTATTCCACTGGCCTCTATCTGGCCAAGACCATTGCTCAGTTTTCAGTACTAATTTTATCCCTTTTAAAAGCACTTGACAAAGTTGATCATTCTTGAAACCTTTTCATTCGCCTTCTGGAACACCATTCTTTGTTAATTTACCTCCTATCTCATTCTTCTTTCTTAATTCTTCATCTTCCTGATCTCTGAACTTTTTTGAAGGGCCCCAGGACTAGGATTTCAGAAATCTGAATTCTATATGCGAACCATGTATATGTGGAAGACTTCCAAATTGATGTCACCATCCCAGACTCATCTATCCAGCTGCCTTTTTGACAACTTGACAACTCCAAACTTACAATGTCTAAAACAGAACTTTTAATCACCATCAATCCTCCCTGCCCCTCCCTCACCCCCAAACTTGCTTCACAGGCAGTCTTCCTGATCTCAGCAGAAGGAACCTCTTTTCTTCTAGTTACTCCAAGTAAAAACTTTGACTTATCCTTGATTCCTCTTTCTCTCTCACACCCTACATCCCATGACTCAGAGTTGTCGGCCTCTCCCTGTGACTGCATCCAGAACCTGCCCACTGCTCACCAGCTCCACTGCTCTGTCTTTGTATCAGTCAGGGGTCTTTAGAGAAAAGAACCAATGGCAGACATCACTATCTATCGATTGATTGATAGATATGGATAGAGACAGAGAGAGAGAGAGAGATTCATTATAAGGAATTGGCTCACGTGACTATGGAGGTTGAGAAGTCCTAAGATCTGTAGTTGTCAAGCTGGAGCCCCAGAAATGTTGGTGATCTAAGTTAGCCTGAGTCTGAAGGCCTGAGATGCAGGAGAGCAAATGGTGTAAGTTCCAGTTTGGAGGGAAATTGAAGGCAGGAGAAAACTGATGACGGAGATTAAAGACAGGCAGAGAGAGAAAAAATTCTCCCCTATCCTGTTTTTTGTTCTATTTAGGCTTTCGCCAGATTGATGAGGCCCACCCATATCAGGCAGGGCAATTTCCTTTACTCAGACTACAGATCCAAATTTAATCTCATCAAGAGACATCCAAAATAATGTTTACCAAATTACCAGAGCACCAGAGGAGAAAGTATGAAATAGCATCTGTGGCCTAGTCAAGTTGACACATAAAGTTAACCATCACAGCTTCCTAACTGGTTGGCTGGCTTCCATCCTTGTGCCCTACTCTATCCTCAACACAACAGTGGACTAAGAAACAAGACAAAAAAACCCCTACATGTCACTCCTCTGCTAAAAATTCTTTAATGTCTTCCTTTCTCGACCAAAGTAAAAATTTCAAGCTATCGTGACCACCAAGGCCCTACGTATTCTGTTCCCGACCCCTCACCCTACCACCTGTCACTCTTCCCCCACTCATTCTGTTCCGCCCACACTGCTATTACTCTAAGAAGCCAAGCATGCTCTTACCTCGGAGCATTCATCTGCAGATCCCTCCAGCTTGAAAGAGCCTTAACCCCAATATCCACGTTGTTTCCTCCCTCAGATGTTTTCTTATCTTAGATGCTTTTGCCATATACACACACACACACATATATATATTAGTTTATTATAACCCCACCCATCCTTTTTATTTTGCTTTATTTTTAAAATAAACTTTTTTGGGGGGAATGATCTTATATTTACATAAAAATTGCAAAGACAGTATAAACTCTGTTCCCATTTTCTCTATTATTACCATTTTACATTAGTATGGTGTATCATCACAACTCATGAACCAATTTGATACTTTAGTACTAGTCTATACTAGATTTCCTTAGTTTTTACCTAATGGCATTCTTCTGTCCCAGGACCCCATCCAAAATACCACATTACATTTAGTTGTCATTCTCATTAGGCTCCTGTAGGCTCTGGATGTTTTTCAGATTTCCTTTGTTTTTGATGATAAGTGACAGCTTTGAGGAATTTTGGTCAGGTGTTTTGTAGAATGTCCCACTATTGAACTTTTTCTAATGTTTTTCTCAAGACTGGGGTTATCAGTTTGGGGGAGGAAGACCACAGAGGTTAAGTGTCATTTTCACCACATCATGCCAAGATGCATACTATCAATATGATTCATGACTGTTAATGTTGACCTCGATCACCTGGCTGAGGTAGTGTTTTTCAAGTGTCTCCCTTTAAAGTTATTCTTTCCCCCCATTCCATACTGTATTTTGCGGGAGAAAGTCGCTATGAGCAGCCCATACTTAAGGAGTGGAAAGTTCTTCTCCTCTTTGAGGGTGGAGTATCCACATAAATTATTAGAAATTCTTCTGCAGGGGCGATTTATCTCTTCTACACCATTTATTTATTTATTCAACGATTTATTTATATCATTATGGACTCGTGGATTTCTTTACTTTGGGTGATAATCCAATACTACTTTATTTATTTCGGAGCTCAAATTGTTCCAGTTTTAACTATGGGGAGCTCTTCAGTTGGAGCCTGCGTTTCCTTGACATTCTCCATCAGTGTGGTGCTTTTTTTCTTTTTTCGAACACTTCCTAACTTAAGCTTCAGCCTTATTTTGCAAGATACCATAAAATAAAGTTCACGCATAATGCACACTTTATCTTTCCCCACTGGAATGCCAGGTCCTCGAGGGCAGGGTCTTACGGTATTTTTGACCACGGTTGCATTCTCAGCACTTGGTGGACCCTCGACTGGTGTTGAATGAATGAATGAACCCTGCTAGCGTTAGGCCCAGGTGAGGGGAGTGAGTCCGGGTGGGTTCTGGGAAAGCGGTGCTCAGCCTCGGGGTGACGTCAGCCTCGGGCAGCCGCAGCTGCAGGGCCAGCCGCTGCCCTGGTCATCACGCCCACACTCAGACCCGGCTGCTAGAGTCCCCGCTGCGGGAAACTCACCCGGCGGCCAACGTCACCAGCGCAGCGGGGATTCCCGGGGAAAGTCCAGCGCCTCCGGGTGAGGGGCGCGAAAGAGGGAGGTGGGGAGGAGGTTGTATCGTACCTGGGGGCAGCATCCACCCACCGCTTCCCACGGTCAGTAGCGCACAGACACCTGACCCGGCGGGGACGCGCGTGAGGACGCGGCGCTGTCTGCCCGGGGCGGGGCCAGATCTCCAGCTGTGGGCGCTGCCGACGCCGAGGGGCTGGGCCGGCAGCGCGGAGCTGGGGTGGCGGCGGAGTTGCTGCCCGACGCGCGGGGAGTCACGCCGCGGGCTTCCTTCCCACGACCGAGCGAGCGCAGCGCGGGACAGGCGCCCGCGCGCGGCAGGGCTTCTTGGTTCGCACGCTCCGGCTGGTTCCTGGTTCGTTTTTTCTCCTTGCGCCTCTTTTTCTCTCCCTAACTGCCCCAGAAGCGAGGACACATCCCGCGTGGCTGTACGCGGAGAGCTGCAGGCAGAGGCGCCCTGGGGTGGGGGGCTGGCTGCTCCGGGACCGGAGGGATGCATCCTCCGGTGGGATTTCGTGTCTGGCATGTCAGGGAACACGGCATGGGGTCTCTCATATGGAGAGGAGTGGTTATGTTTTTCTTTCTTTCTTTCTTTTTTCTTTCTTTCTTTCTTTCTTTCTTTCTTTCTTTCTTTCTTTCTTTCTTTCTTTCTTTCTTTTTTCTTTCTTTCTTTCTTTCTTTCTTTCTTTCTTTCTTTCTTTCTTTCTTTCTTTCTTTCTTTCTTTTTTTTTCTTTTCTTTTCTTTTCTTTTCTTTCTGTCTCCTGGTGGGCAAGGAACTGTACATTTAAGGCTTTTAAAATTATTTCAGAGATACCTGTTGATAGGATTCCCTGAAGTATTTTTCTTTTCTTTTCTTTTCTTTTCTTTCTGTCTCCTGGTGGGCAAGGAACTGTACATTTAAGGCTTTTAAAGTTATTTCAGAGGTACCTGTTGATAGGATTCCCTGAAGTATACGCCGAAGACTACTTTTGCTTTAAGTCGAAAGGCTGGAATTTGGGGGGGGGGAGTGTTTTTTTTGTTTGTTTGTTTGTTTGTTTTTTTTAATTAGTTGGGCATTACTTCGGTTTGACCACCTCTTCACTACCTATTAGGTTGCACTTTCTCAAAAATACCAGAATGGGTACTTCTTGACTTGGCAGTATGACTCAGGAGCCAGGAAATACGGAGACGTTGATACAGCCTTCAAACAGCTCCTTCCAAGCCCACATGAGACTCTTTTTAGAACGAAGACAGGAAAAAGTGGCAGCGCTTATGAGAACCATACTGTCCGCGAGAGGGAATTCTAGACTCCGCTGACACCAGCTGAGATCTGTATTATTACTTCCTGTGGTTCTCACGCACTTGTTTAAGCCGTTTCTCAGCAAAGGGAGGAGTTGTTATTTCCACACGATTATCCAAAAATGAGTCACAGGGCTGCTCTCTTCATGGTGAGACTTTGTTAATGAACTTTTCAAAAGTGAGGTTTTGCTCTGGCTATTTAAAATAAGACTAATGCGAAATGGCTACACTGCTAAACTGGGGCAACTGGTATAGGAAGTAACAGTTCAAGTTTTCAGTTTCCTAAAGCACCTGATGGTACAACATGCTAGCTAGGGTTACTAGGCCGATGTCAGATAACCATTAAAATCACATGCTTTGCCCGAGAAAAAAAATTTCATTATTCAATAACTGCTTTTTGTTCTTACTTTCACTGGTATGGTATGGTAGAAATATGTCATTTTCCAGAGTGATTGTGTGTCACTCCCTGAATCAGAATATTTCAATTGGTTTGTCTTTAGTAAATTAGTGCTTAAGCCACATGAAAATTAATGAAGAAGGTGGGTATCAGTTGGAGCTGAGAAATGTAAATGTTTAAGCTGATAGGCCCCATTGCAGCTGGGCAGTAGTTCTTAGGAAGGAACTGTACATTATCTCCTCACAGAGACAGAGAAGGGCAACAGCATCTCTGCTGGAGCTGAGCTGAGCCAAGGTCAGTCCAGCATACAATTATCAGGCACCTTCTCTATGCCAGATTCCTCAGTGACCTGTTTGTCCAACCATGAATATGACAGGATCCTGCCCGCAAGGGTCCTAAAAACTGGTGTGGAAGACCAAAAATCTACTGGAAAATCCAGTAGGAGTTGAGCATTATTACAAATCTTTGCCCAGAGCAGGGCTTCTATCTCAATGTGACTGACATTCTGCAGATCTGGGATTTTGAATGAATTGTGTCGGCGTTGCTGGAAGAATGAGAAAGGTTTTGAGTTTAATCCTCTTCTTGTCTTTGTAGGCAGCCTATGCTTATGTAGTAAGTGCTTCATTCAATAAGTGATGTAAAAAATATATGAATTAGGAAGGCAAGATTTTTTTAAGTTTATTGGAGTAACATTGGTTAATACAATTCTGTAATTTTCAGGTGTACATTATCATTTGACATGTATATTGTATTGTGTGTTTACCACCCAAAGTCTAGTTTCCTTCAGCTACCATATATTTGATCCCCTTTACCCACTTCA